GATTTATTGATTTATTTATTTATTTATTTATTTGTTTGTTTATTTATTTATTTATTTGTTTGTTTGTTTGTTTGTTTGTTTGTTTATTATTTATTTATTGTTTCATTATTGTAATAATGGTTAAATGACTATTGTGATCTGTGATTAGTAACTAAAGTTACTATTTTTCTTTACAGACCCGATCTTCTCTTATAAATGCGTTATTTGATTTGGCATCAGTAGAATATGTTTTCGATTCACAAAGTGGGATAGAACAAATAGCTGGTGTTGTCGCCAGTGTGACGTCATTCAGACATCCAGAAGAGTTGACATTGGACACACAGGTATGTTTCGTTACATGTATGCAAACGTTTAATACTTCCTGTTTTTAGTACAATCACACATCTTAATTAAATAACTTTATTAGTGCGTCGTGAAACCGACAATTTCGTTCACTTTACTTCATAGTTACGTACGAATCAGCGACCGTGAGCCCCTTGTGGTGGCAATATAAGTTGCAAAATAGCAAACATCCAAACGCAAAAACAGATAACTCAATTACATAACCCGGTATCAATATTCTAAGTCATTTTACTCATCCAGGCAAAAGCAGCAACAATAGCCATGAAATCTGCACATGCGCTGCTAGAATCCGCAGATGAATCGATAAATTCAATGGTTTTGGATATAGGGAAAGGTGAGATAACTTCCATCACGCTAACGTAAGTAAATATATAGTTGTTATGACTCTATTTGTACCAATATAAAATTAATCTAATATGCACTGTCATACATTATATTTTGTTCAACAGAATTGATATTGGCATCTAACAACATTATACTTGCGTCTCTATATAGTCGTGAGCTTAACACAGATATTGATGATGGGGACACGGTATGTATTATTTAATATATACACCTCACATTAAAAACAGTACGTGATAATGCACACAAACAGAATTGCACATCTGCTGTGCATTATTATTTATTGACTATGTTACGACAGCTGTAACATATTTGAATGGGGTGGTGTATTAACCTGGTCTAGCTGTTATACATTATATTCTCGATGCATGTATTAGTGGACAATTTTATCAGGAATGAAAATATTAGGAGGTGTTATTTATTTAAATTACTTAATTATAGATGCGAATTACCATAACCAATGCCATGAATGCTCTGGATGCAGTATGTGATGCAGCTTTGACCATGGTTCTCCCCGGTGCAGGACCAACCGAGTATGGTACAGATATCTTACACGTTGTGCTATCTAAAATTAGTCCGAATGATCTGAATGGGCTTGCGTTTAATTCAGAGGCCGGAGGCTTTCGCCTGCCTGAGAGTGAAATGTTCGATGACCTGGAAAGTACACCAGTTAGCACCAAGGTAACAAAACAGTTCAAGTTTTGTTTTTGTTTTGCGACACCTTCTCATCTGCATGCAGGTCTGTTCATCGTATGTCGACCGGACTAACATGCAGTATTGCTTAAAGCGTCAATCGTATAATGGTGCATGTCGCTTCGTATGTTATATAAGTTTTGAATAGGAGATCGTGAAGACATTTGACCACTTATAAGGTCAGGGTCTGTGTTTGTGTGTTTTTATTTGTCGATTCTTGCCTTACTCTGTCGAAAATATATCTGTGATATCAAAATAATACATACTGGCTAGTAGTTATATATTTTGTGGTTTATTGCAGTTCTTATCAATGAGTAACAATCCATACATTTCCACTGAGGAAGACCCCTTGGATGATTCTCCAATCGTTGGATTGGAGCTAATACATCAAAATCATCAGCTTGCTTTGAACGGCGGTCGCATCTTAATTGACGTTACCAATAACAATGATGCCAAGACCACCAACGAAACAACGAAGGAACACCAGTATGAGATATCGGAAGCACATGATCTAGTATTCAGCTTTAATCTGTCAGTGGGGCCAGGGTCCGTGGTGTTAAAATTCTTACCAGATTATGATGGACCATTAATTTACAATATTTACATGGGTTTTGAGTTCATGCCCACGGCCATGACGTATGATGTCAATAAAACGTTCAGTAGTCTACAACCGAAAGACGTTGTCCTGTCAACTGAGGATGCTGGAGTATACTACGTGTTGGTTGTGTTAGAGTGTAGGTTTAGTATTTCATCTTTCCTCCACGTTATTTAATACATGAAGTATACTTTGGGTGAACATACATTTCGAAAGCTACAACTCAATTTGCATTCAAATTAGTAATTAACGTATATTGTTCTTGTAGTCACGACGTATAATATTGAAAACGCGCTAAGCACCCTGGGATTGAATAACGAAACCAGTACTAATGACGTATTGCAAACCACTTCTACAATGTTTACTGGCGGCCGTGGTGTGGACGAATTATCAATAGATGGTCACAATGGTACTGTTATTATGCGTGTTGCGTTCTGTAGGTATTGGAATACAACTGATGAGGAATGGCAATCCAATGGGTGTTCGGTGAGAGCAGTTTTTACATGAATTGTGTCAGTACAGATCTTATGAAAGCCGAAGTCAACTTGTCTTATTAGAAGTTGCGACGTCTAAATAAATAGTGTAGAACAAACCATTTCACATATTGTACATTCAGGAAGTACATCTTCCCACTCGAAGTATACTGTATTTATGTATATTAAACACTAAGATTTCCCAGAAAAATACTACATAGTTTGTAATTTCATTCGGCTTGTTTCAGTCATAATAAATAAAAATGAAAATATAGAGAATATAGAGAATTATCTTTTGTTTTTTGTAATATTGTTGTGTAAGTGGTAATTATGAAAAGGTGTACATATGGAATTCATTGCGTTATAAAATATTTTTAATCAAAATCGGTTATTTTCATTTTTTTTGTAAAAACAAAAGAATTTTACAATGTTGAAAACGGGAAGTCTGTATCGTATGCTCTTTACGAATCTAACACTAAACTATATGTTTCTTATCTCACAGGTTGCGTCGTATATAACGAGTGACTCAATCACATGTTCCTGTAACCACCTCACCTCTTTCTCGGCTGCTGACTTCGTGGTGCCAGTCAATAAGATCGATTTTAGTACAGTATTTACGAAGAACATCCTTGATAATTCTGTGGTCTTGATAGTCATACTAGCATTCTTCTTGATTTATGTGATATTAACGATATATATGCGGAAGAAGGACAAGGACGATTTGATAAGGGTCGGTTATAATACAAATACCGTTTTAATTGTCTGTGATATATTCTCACCACGTTGCAACACGTGTTGAATCTTTGAGCGTCAGAGTAAACCCAGGTCATCTTTCACAAAATATTTTTTTTTTTCAAAACTGTCTATCAAGACCAGTAATTATAATGGAATAGTGTGTTAATTTGGACAATGGTTAGAAAAAAAAACAAAGAAAAAATAAAACATGTTGAGATAAATCAGTGTGAAATTCGTAGAAGAGTTATACATGCGAAACTATTTCACGCCATTGTCCGACTTATTAAATAAGAATAATATTACTATATTTCTAAAATCAACTTTGCAATGATATTAAACAGGGTTCTAAGAATGTGTAATATTTTAATACACATAATGCTTTTTGATATTATCGTTTAGTGTTACTTATTTAAGGAGATAATTTATGTGCAGATTTTTACAGATCTGCACTTATAACAGTATAAAATCTTTCTAATCGGTAAAGCTGTTAAGTTGAACATACCGTCTATAGGTAGGATACGTATACAAGTTGATAAAGTATATTAATTAGTGATGGTCTCTTGTGATGAACAAGTCTATTGTTAATCTGTAGTGGACAGTGTGGCCGTTGGCTGGAAACAACCCTCGTGACAACTACATATACCAGCTCACTGTGTATACGTCTATGGTGCCAACATCGGGTACTAAGTCGAAAATTCAGTTCACGTTAACCGGGGATGACGGAGAATCTGGTGTCAGAGACCTGATAGACAAAAAGAGTAGAGTTGTGAGTATACTAAATAAATACGCTGTTTGTGACGGCAGTGCAGTTTATTGTCCTGATGTTGACTTTTAATAGTTAATTGTTAGTCCGCACTCAGCTACTGTATTCTGAATGGAACTTTATGTTCTATAACGTGATTTCTCTCATTGTTTACCGTTGAATACGTTCTTAGTCTAGCGTATTTACATAAAAGTATTGCGTATCTGTTTCCGTATGTGTTCATGTGATGTCATCGGCGGCTGAATCAATAAAAAACTTCACTGATAAGAAACACATCAAATAACCTTAGTAATATTCATCATATGTTTCCTTGTAGTGCTTTTCCAGTGGAAGTGTAGTGAGTCTGTATCTAACTGTACCCAAATCCCTTGGCGAATTGCGATATATACGTATATGGCATGATAACTCTCCAAAAGACAACGACGATGCATCATGGTATCTTAACAGGGTTGTAGTATTTGATCTTCAAAGTGAACGAAGGTATTACACATGAAATAGGTCTTAAACGCAAATAGCTGATCGATATATCGTTGTGTGTGGGGGTGCTACAGTTGTTTTCGCCCGTCAAAGATTATTTTAGTATCGTTCGTCATCAATTTTATTGTTCAAAATGGTTAAATGGATCAGGAGAAATAAACACTTTTTTTAGGGTCAAGTGTCGTGGCTATCGACGAGACAGTCTCGACAGTCATTTACGTATCTTAGTAATACTTATCATATCATGCGGTCACATACATAGTCAGTCATCATTTGTCACGACTTATTACAATTATTTCCTTTTAAATCACATTGTAGACCCATTCATTTACTAGTTAAAATATAGAATTTTAAATTATTATAATTTCAGATTTGATTTCACTTGTTACGATTGGTTGGCAGTGGATAAATCTGATGGCCAAATACTTCGTCTACTGCCTGTTTCTGGAGACCTACAACTTTCAAGCTTTAAAAACATCTTATCCAATAAAATGCGAGAGGGCTTCAGTGAAGATTATATGTGGGGATCAGTATGGCTTCGTCCAACTCCAAGTAACTTCACTAGAGTGCAACGACTTGGCTGCTGCATTGTGTTCATATACCTCTCAATGATCACAAATGCCATGTTCTACGACACTGGCGGCGAGGGTGGCACCGCTGAACGTATATCCGAGACCAAAACGATTTCTATCGGGCCGTTTAGATTTTCTCTTGGAACAATCTATATTAGTTTGATCTGTAGCTTGGTTTCGACGCCTCCATCCGCCCTTATACAGACTCTTTTTGAAAAGGCTAGACCTCGTGAAAGTAAAAACGATTCATCGTCAAACTCCGATGGTGGCGATGTACCAAGTAAGGAGAAGAAACAGGAAAAAGATGATATGTGGCCTTGGTGGTGTGTGATTTTCGCTTGGATACTCGTCTTTGCCTCGATTGTGATCCCAGCATTTTTCACTGTCTTGTACAGTTTACAGTGGGGGAAAGAGACATCACTTCAGTGGCTGACAGCAGAGATTACCTCAATCGTATTATCTGCTTTCATTGTAGAACCTTTGCAGGTGAGGAATTGAAATCCTACCCTTTTACTCAAGATCAGTGTCACGTGATTTAAGTAACACTAACATTTATGCAGAGTCGTAGTATAACCATGAAATGTCTTTATCAACTAAAAATTGTTGATATCGTAGCAAAATTAATACATTTAAATAAGGCCATACCAAAGTAAATCCAACGTGAGTTTTGTCGCACAGCAGAGCAAAACAACTGTTAATTCTCCTTATGGCGTGAATAATCGTCAACCATATGCATACATTCTAACCAATGGATTATCAATTCATTGACGGACATGCGGGTATCTACGAAACGGGAGACTACAACGAGAATATTACTGAACAGTTTTATTTACTTTATATAGGCAACAGCATTGTCTATGGCTATATCGGCTGTCTATTCAAAACTCAATAAGTCCTACTCTGATGAACAGAATCCAGAAGAAAAGGACACATTAAAAAAAGAGGAACATGAAGAAAACCATCGCACCAATGAAATACGTAAGTTGCTCTATGTGGAAATATTCGAATTTAAGATCAGAAAAACTTTCAAATACGTGCCACACTCTTGCTGAGGTTCAATATTTTAGAATACCATAGCGAAAATAATTTATTTATTCACTTATTTATTTATTTCATATGTTTTCATATGTAGCCCTGAGGTCAAATATTGTCACGGTTACTGTCGGGTACATTACATAAACATGTGTACTGACATCGTATACTGCTATGTTACTGTGCTTTATAGATATAAAAGGATCGCTATCAAATGAGGAACTGCAAAACGAAAGGGGACAGCGTCTAACGGAGCGACGTATGAGCGCGGTGATAGAAGACTTCGTATTTTGTTTGATATTACTTCTCGTAATTACCGTCATTGCATCAGCATATCGAAACATTGATTTGTACTATGCTGGGCGGAATATACGAGATACCCTGGCACCGCAACCAGACAATGATGTGAGTTTATTAACTTTTTTTGTACAAACAATTGTTTGTTTAAGATTGCTTTGTCGTTATTATAATTGCTTGTTTTAGAAAGTAAAGTCATAGTATGATGTAGATATTACACAGTTTGCTGCACCGGATTAATTATTTACTAACGTGCTGCTAGTATTAAATTAACTGCAGACAAAGACATTGTTTACTTACACTTTTTCTAGAGTAATTATATGATGTAGCTTCCATACCTGTCATAATGTCTATAGAGGAATTAGATGTGAATTGTACATACCACATATAGTTGAACTCAACCAATCTAAATCGAATATTCAGATTCAATTCGGACATGCGGACGATGAACACACTTAGTTTTCCTTTCCTTCTCTTAACATTATCTAAAGTGCTAAACTCAAATTTACTCGATGTTGTTATTTGAATTGTCCAACAGGTGACCACGCCAAGCAAATATTGGCAATGGATGTCAGAAACTGTCATTGAAGCAATATTTCCAGACAGTTTATACAACGGAAAACCGATATCAGAAAAGCAAGGGAGTCTTACTCTGTTTGGCAATCTAGTGAGCTATACCGTGGGCCCTGTTGTTTTACGCCAACTTAGGGTGACTGAAGGTAATATAGCATTGGCTGTACTGTTTTGTTAGACCGTTGCGTACAATGATACTTTTAATGCGGGGAAGTCTTCACCTACACATGCGTCAGGTGGCCATAGCGTGTTATTGTTTACAAACAAGCGTCTACCCATGAGCCTTTGTGTTCTTAGCGTGTTTTGTTATCGTCGCTTGGAACTCAATTTCCACGAGGGTCATCCTAATCACAGTTGTTGTGAAATATTGACCATGATTCAACGGTAGCGGGTTCTGAGGAACTTTGATTAAGGTCAGCAAGATCGACGTTCGTTTAACCATTCTTCGCGCTAAATATTGAATGTTTATGTGACTTGGTGTAGTAGGTTTTAACGTACAATGGGTTGAGGCCTATTTCGTTCATTCTGAATGACGTGAAGTGTCCTTCAAATCGACCAGTGTTTTCTTAGTAGTTGGTTGTCAAATAAATTGCAGTAAAATCTCTCCAAAACATAATATTCATCAATTGGCGGCTACAGAATGTTAACGTTTTTGAGCAGCATTCTCGTTTTTCATTTACGTCATAAAAGCGCGTAGAGAAATGATGGTGTCGTCACCTGCGCATGCGTAAGATGGCCATAGCGTGTCATTGTTTACATACAAGCGTCTACCCATGAGCCTTTGCGTTTTTAGCGTGTGTTGTTAACAACGTATAACGTAATTTTTTTAGGTGGCTGTTCTATCCCACTGGAGATAGAAGATGCAGCGTATAAATGCCACGCTAAATACTCACGCGACAATGAAGACACGCGCGCGTACAATGTATCGTGGACAAGTTACAAAGATACGAATTTGACGCAACGTTCTCCTTGGATACACAGTAAGATCCTCGGACTGCCAGTGTCGAGTGTTGATGTGACCAGCAGCGATGGAACTGTTTACAACAACGAGGGATACATGGCGATATTCGGGCGGCCTGGCGATGCGGCTATGGAATTATCGATGTCATTGCAATCAAGTGGATGGATTGATCAACGAACAAGAGCAGTTTTCCTAGAGTTTATCGTATACAACGGCAATGAAAATATTTTCAGTTTCGTGACTTACCTAACTGAATTCAAAGAATCTGGTATTGTCCGCAAGAGTTGGAGAGTTGATAGTGTCACGTGTCTAGGTCTTAACGGATCGGTCACAATAGCATGTCACGTGATATTTTTGTTACTCGTAATTTACGTCGTATATAGGTTGTGCATACGTATTTATCACGGGGGTCTAACTTTCTTTACAAGTTTCTGGAATTGGTGGTATGTTGTCTTGGTCGTGTTTTTACTGGTGGTCGTCGATATTTTCTTCACGAGAATGTCAACTGCTCACTTGGCACTAAACGAAATTAAAGCCGGGCTAGGTGAGTACTGTGTCTAAACATGGTTCCATGGTCTAAATAATGATGCCCTACAGGCAATCATTATTGTAAATCACACTACTTTCTGCTACTGAGATGTTACTGCTCAGTGTGTGGTCACGCGGGGTTACATAATGATATACTGTTACATCGAAATGAGTCAACAATTGTATTCTAAAAATTGCATTACTTTTGGAACGTAGTGAAACGTGCAATAAGCACATATAAAGAATGTTCGTAACAGTATGTCCAAAACTAATGCAACTAATGAAGGGTGCTTTGCAGTATATTGATGGGTTGCTTAAAGGGTGGTAGTCGTCGCGCCACGCATGAGCGAGATATATCTCTTATAAACAAAGATGGTGACTTTGACTTGCGCAGATTGTGTAAGTCTCGTCCAGGTCAAACCTCATACTTGTGATTTCTATTAGAAGAGCGCATTGGATCATGGGAAAATCAATGTTCATTAACACAAATGTATCACATGCGCAGCGCGACGACCACCGCTCTTAAACTACAACGCGAACTATCTTTCACATCGAATGCAATTTACTGTCTTACATCTACAGACTAGCCTTATTCAGACAACAGCATAAGCCTTCTCCTTCGGTCTGTGAATCACCCATGACAGAACGATAATATGTGGTGAATGTACTCCAGAAAATAGCTGCTCATAGCCAGTCGATAGATGTATAATATCGATCGTCTTAGTGAATGTTCGAATTGAGATTGAATTCTTGAAGCATCGAATATATGTGCCTTCACTGACAAATTGCATCTAGAATATTTTTTTATTGCTAAATTTTTTCGCAAAGTGAATGACTTTATATATGAATAGATCATTTTTACGCACATATATGGCAAAAGATATACCATGTTCGAACATAAAATTATGCGCATCGACTTGCATGTACAACATTATCTAATTAACATGGTTGTCATATGATGACGTTAGCGTTGTAAGGAAATCACAAAGCCTTTATTCTGTTATTTTAATTTAATTTTCACACGATAACCTTTTCCACTATAAATAATTCTCAAAGTCGCTCACATTAAAAAATGTAAATTACTCATGGTTATTTGGGATACTGTTGAACACTAAGCATCAATTTATCCGATAAACCAGTTTGTTGCTAATTATTTGATCCATCAAATTATTTTAATTATTGACTATTATATATTAATTATTGTATTTTGTTTTATAGGAACCTATGGGAACTTGCGTCGTTTGATAGAGGCAGATGAACGTTTTATTTGTCTTCTCGCTGTTGTTTACTTCATGATTCTAATAACTTGCATCCGAATTCTTTCTGTAAACTACCGTTTCCGGGTTTTTGAAGAAATCCTTGCAATTGCCTTCCCACGTATTCGAGCTTTCGCGATTTTATTTTTTCTCACTTTATTTGCTTTTGTTCATATGTTCCATCTTATTCTCTGTCGATCCATGGCTGACTTTAAGAGTTGGTGGACATCTGCAATAACGTTGCTTTCTCTGGTCGTAAATCGCCTGCGAATCAATTGGTCGGACAATCTTTCTGAAACTGGTATAAATACTAGGATGATTCAGATGCTTCTGGTGTGCTTTGTAATGATTGAGGTCTGGATTACACTGATGTTGTTATTGTCCATCATCAACATATCCTACAAGATTACTAGATCAACGAAAATGCAGCATTTAGAATCTGAGATGTTGGTTTATTTATCCGTCAAATTAAAAAGAATTCGCCTCTTCTTGTCATCAAAAATATTGGGCACCAAAGAACGAATAATTGAGAAAGGCAAGTGCTCGTTTATCTATAGGTACCATAAATAAATCCACTACCCGTTGCAAATACCTGACCTCTGTCAAAGAAGCTGCATTCAGTAGATGAGTTTGACTTAGTGTAGAAATATCAGTTTCCCGTTCAATGTAGATATATTATTTCAAGGTACAGAATAATAATAAATGCAGTTTACAGCCCCCCCCCCAAAAAAATGGTGATTTATTCGCGTTATGCGTTTGCGGACCAAAATCAATTTACCAAAGCATTGACCGATTTTCTTTTCTTTCAAAACAAAACCAAACACGATGGTATAATAAATTTTATAAATTGATGCAATCACATATGGCCGATTGGCAGCCGGTTCTCTGATATGATTGAGTAGATTTCAATCAAACTTGTAATGAAGACAAAACATATTAGGATGAAGGTGTTTATCCCAGTTGTGTGTGTTTTTCTGGTATACATATACTGTGCCAAAAATTTTCTTTTAAGCTTTATCTAATATAATTCCAAAATACCAAAATCACTAAAATAATTGACAAAGTCATATAACCAATCTACTGCACATTTGGAATTATTACCAATTATTATACAAATATGTCACCGTAACGCAGCGCCGTAATTTTTCGGTATTTTACGGGGTATTTTCATCCCACCGTATTAGGAAATGCGAATTGCAAATATGAATGATTCCGCGCATAAGAAAACTCTAACAATAAAAACATGCATGGCCGCCCTAGGTTTTGACCGGGCCCCACACAAGGAAGTTCTAAATTTTTTGTATTTCAGCATTCCCATTCCCATGATGTAATCTTGGGAGGAAAAGATGTATAATAATAATAAGGTTATTACGAGGATACCGAAAAGTATGCAGTCAGACAGTACGCGGTAGCATCGACCTACGCTGCACGTCTGTCGATACCTTCGGTTTCCTCGTACTAACCTTATGTTATCTATTGTATTGTAGATGTGGTAAGAAGTACTAGAGATGTTGACATGTGTGCTGCCTTGGAAGAACGATGTCAGCGTGTTGATAAGTTGCTGCAACGCTTAGAGACACGTGTTAACATATTTGAGATATATGTCAATAACATGATACGTGAAAATATGTCCGCTGATAAGGTCTCCAAAAGAAAGATTTACATGTCTTAAGTATATTTCCTTATTGAATATTTGCTTTGCTAGCAGGGTATATTACAGTAACTGGATTTGATACATTGTTGGCGTTGATTTATAGGATAAGAGTATGACATTTAGATATGTTTGTGTTAATGATATGATATTCTATTTTTCGCCTCTTAGTTCCATGTCCGCGTCAATCGAACTAATTTCGCACCAATGAAACCTCTGAAATGAAATGAATGAGATAATCGCGATAAAGGCAAAGTCTCAACGAATATAGTTGAAAACCTTGTTTAAAATCACGCTCACCATAACATTTGGATACTCTCATACACTCTTGACGTTAAATAAGTAATAACCATTAATGCTCCTATTAATCATATCTATAATATAAAAAATTATGTGTTCGTGTAGTTATAAATACTCGTGTTGACATTATGCAAATTGGGCATTTTTATTATCATTTCACTAATAGTTGTGACTCTCATTTAGGTTCGTGGGCGAAGCCATGTTTGAAGGAAGCAACCTGATTGTATTGCTCGTTATTTGCCCGATTTTACTAAATACAATAGTGTTGTGTACTTGTTTTGTTTTCTGATATTATTTTTCAGTTATTTGCAATTTCAATCAATTAAACCATCCACACACTATTGTGTAACTTTATATTCATGTGATTTTATATTTCAATGATAAGTTAAATTGTAAATATTGTTGTTTGATGAATATGCACATTACGTTTCAAGTGCATTATTAGAACATTCCAATTAGTCATTTAATTTAAAACTGTCAGCTGTAGGCATTTGAATGCCGAGCCAAATATGTTATCAAAGCGGGAGGGTCGTCACCTGCGTACGTGCCAGAATTGAGTCCAAAGCGACGATAACAACTTACGCTGAAACGCAAAGGATCATGGATAGAAGCTTGTTTGCAAACAAAGACACGATATGGCCATCTGACGCATGCGTAGGTGACGACTCCCTCGCTTTAAGACCCCAGCTCGTTTTATATTCGATATAGCAGGATGGGTAATACTGTTTTACACGCTACTGTCGTCGCCCCTCGTGTTTAATACGGGACACACATTGTGTAAAATACACAAAATGTTTTGCGCCTGATCTAGATCAGTTAAAAAAAGGGAAAGAAAGCTTAAGTCATAATGTTATGTCAGAATCTTAATAGCTAATTAATAGAAATCAATTGTCAGGAAAAATAATTATAAGATCATTTTTTTCATGACAACTTTTTAAATAAAATTTCACCATCTGAAATCTGCATAATATGAATATATTTATTTTTTGGAAAATCTATACCAAAATAATATAGAAAACTATATAATGATAATGTAATGAGGAATGTATTTTAAATAACGCATATCAAATTTCTTGAATGCTGAGGAGTGTTCTCAATTGGATACATTTGTGCGGCAAAGCCGCCACTGTAACGTCGCATTCGTGATTCCTGGAGCGTGGTCGACGCTTTAAGCGTTCTACGCGCGCCATTTTAGGCTGAGGCACGCCACAAACGCTCAAAGCTGAGTGACGCGCAAGTGCAGGTGGTAGTGGTGGTTATGTTCGTTCAAAAATCATTTGTTACTTTTAAAAGCGTGTTGACATTTTTATCTGGCGAGTGGTGGAATAACTCGCGTTCAAGTTACTGTCAATTTATTTTATATTTGCTAAATCGATACCTGTTCATATTTCAAATTGCTGAAAGTTATATTTACTATATTGATCGCATTTTCCTGTCAGCAAACAATGTGTGTACAAAAAATGCATGCTATTAAGTAATGTTTAACTTATTATCACATAAAATAAAATATTACATACTTCATACAACTATAAATAAGTATAAATATGAATAATGTTATTGTGCAAGGTAGATGTTTGTTTGTTTGGTGTGATGAAATAAATAATACACCGTAATTCGGACAATATCACGATTTTTTGTCCGCCATCGGGCGGTGATCATAACTATGACAATTATTATTATGGTAATGACCACCATCCGTTGGTCAGGCAATAAATATTGATATTGCCCTCACAAATATATATTATTATGAGTTAATTATCAACCAGCTAATGGTCACCACGGCTTATAAGTGTACTCATTACATGGCAAAAATAATAAATACATTATATCGAACTATTTGACATGTGTGAGATATCATTTTCTGATCCGACTAAGAAATCAAGAAAAATCAATAAATAATTTCCGTTATTGATTAATGGCAATCAATAGTGCAGAACAAAATGTGTTGAAGACACAATATTAATAATCGGATGCGGGATGAGATTCACCAGACTGAGCATTTTTTATCTCTGTTCATTGTAGCTCCTGCTGTGCAGTTGAACGTTGAGGAGAATTCCTGAAAATTTGAGACACTGCCGTTGCACCTGAAACAAATAGGAATAAATCAGGAAAAATAGTCTTCAGTAATCATGAAAACAAAACGGGCTTAAAATCCACGCGTTGTAATTATTTCCAGTTGCCTCTAAAAACATCGATTTATCTACGTTTGTAATTCGCATTCGAGCTGACGGGATGCGGGAACGGTCTGTAACACGGGTTCTCATTTACTTTAGTGCTTATAACTTTTTTTCCAACGCCTATCAGCATTTTACAAGATCTCAAGGCGCTTGCATGGAGTTGGTCAGATGTACGTAGTTAAAATAACATTTTCAAATTTGTCATTGATGCCCACACATTCACGATTTGAAAAAAAATATTCATCCGCCAAACGCGTGACGTCATTGCACACTATGTTCTTTGATTGGATGGTTTAATTCAACTACTGTTAGGTACGTCATTGTCCAACGTACCTTGCTAGCCATGATATGTGTTGCATTTATGTAGTATGTATCGTACATAGTGTATTTGTAGACCTTTTCTTGTTTATGAAAAAAGGAATTTCAACCGCACTTACCTATACCTCCCTGGACTGTGAGCACCGGTTAAAACTTTATTTCTTGCCCCTTGTTCCGTGTATTTACTACACCATATCTGTCGAACAACGCAACAAGTTAGTAATCAGAATTGTTGGTTCGAATGCAAAAGTGTTGGAAATTTGTGAAAAAAAACACTGTAGATAGTGTTGGAATCTATTGCATTTATTGCAGTAACTTGTGATTTGTGCCACTAACCTGCCCAAAATTAATAAAAAAAAGTTGTTCCGGTGTAAATGGAATACCAGGAAGCATTGGTTCTTCGGAGTCATTGTCTTTGATCCATAACTTGTAACCCTGTAATGGAAATATATCACATACCATTTCATTGTAATTATGTATATATATATTTGTTTATAACATTTTTATTTATTGTACGACATTACATCATCATTTTATGCTGATTATGCTGATTATCATATAACCATATTACGTAGAAAACGCTCTATACATAGTAAAAGTAACATACAAAGTAATTTGTACCACAGTTAAAAAAAGTCAAAAATGTTATGAGATGTATATTTATCTGAAAGTTATATTATCCATAGTACTAAAGTTGATAATAACTGTTTCCACAAAAAAAAATATACTCTTCAAAATTGAACATATCTTCACAAAAATTAAAAATCTAAGAGAAATACACTTGAGTTAAATACCCTTATCATATTTCAAGGCCCCCTCCATCTGCGGATACTACTTCAAAACAATATATAATAGTAATATTCAATAATATTTAAAATATTTTTTAATGAAAGGTTTGGGAAGAAGTTCATTCTTACTATATGCGGTAGAAAAGTAAGCGACAAACGAGGATATATTTGGCTGAGGATCCCAATTAAAATTAAGCCTATTTGAATTAAATAATTTGTCGAAAGACGGTGTTGTTGCTATAGCAATTGCAAAAAAATCCTCTCAATTATCTATACTTTTCAGATTCTAGTTAAATGATCGTTATTTATTTTGGATACGGCATCATGAACCACGAGTGAAAACCTAGACTGGTTTATGTGACGCGAACATCAAATGAATATGATTTAACTTGTGCCGCAGATCATGCGAATTCCGATCATGAAATTGCTATTGTAATTACTTCTTGTTCAATCTCATGAATTCTAGAACGCCCATTGGACAAATCTAGACAGTCGTGTTACAAGTGGAAGGATTTGCCTAGAACTTTATTAGTCATTGCATTTAAATCAAGGCTCAGCTCTATAGCTCTACTTACCATGTACGCCTCTTTGAGGCCACCATTGTCAGCAATGTTTTCTCCTTGTGTTTTGACGCCGTTCAGCTGTAGGAAAAATAGATACAATATTGCAACTCATTTCCGACAAAATTATCTATACGTATGTTCGACTTTAATCGAAATTACTGTATGACTGGCTGTCCCCAAAACATTACGACTAATCAATTTGTCGCTTTTTTTTTACGATATCACCTCGTCATTCTGCGTGCTGTTATCTTTTAAATCAGTAGCCGCCATTTTTGGTCCTGGTGTGTAAATTTTTATTTCTGTATTAACTTTATTGTGAAAAAATTAATTTGTCTTCGAACACGCTTATTATAATTTAATGCGAGGGGAAGAGCATGCGTTTACTTACAGTCATATTACATTCCTCCACCCAATATTCAGCGTATTGGTCCACAATGCAGCGCGCCCTCTCTTGGTAGGCTTTGATAGAATTATTACTCCACCATTGCAATAGGTTGCCACTGTTGTCGTATTGTCTCCCTAGAAAGAGAAATATGACATGTTGAGCTGAAAGAATGGAATGGCAATGTAATTAAAATGCGTTAATTCCATCAAAAAATATACTTGTAAGCAAATATGCGCAAACTGCTCTTTATAACTTACCCCTGTCATCAAAACCATGCGTCATCTCGTGTCCTATTACTATTCCAATGCCTCCAAAATTTAGATAACTGAAAACAAAATCGTTACATTATGAGTGATGTATAGTACAAACGTTATTTAACGGTAAAACATTTAGAAGAGCTCCGAGATTTTTTTTTCCGTTTTCCATAGTATGTGGGAAACAAATACACAATATTCTCAAAAAAGCCACATCCTTCATTGTTCTATATAGATGTAGAAAAAGCAATTTCCATGTCTATATTCATAATTCATGTTGCTATTACGTAATATATGCCACTTTATATAAGGCGATATTTATTATTATTATGCATCTGTCACCATAACGCCATAAGTTACAGCGTGCAATAATTTTGCCGTATTTTACGGGATATTTTATCCTACCATATACGGAAATACGAATTCCAAATATGGTATGATTACGCGCGTAAGCGTTCTCGAATGATAAAAATAAACACGGCTGCCACCAGGGTTCGACCGGACTCCACACAAAGAAGTTCGTTGATTCTGTTCTAAACTTGTTAGATTTTGACATCCCATGATGCATCTCAGAAGGAAAAGATGTATAATACTAAGGTTATTACGAAGATACCTCAAAGTATGCACGAAGAGAGTACAGTGGGAGTATCGACCAACGCGAAGCGTCGGCGTACTGTCTGTTATATTATGTCAAAATCTACCACTTACTTTGGTGATTCTTTGTGATAATAAATACCTTGGAGAATTCCTGCAGGGAATGCTACAAAATAAATGTTATGTAGAATAAAACTACATGTTGCGGTTTTAGTGGTGATGGTATTGCTACATCAGAACCAGTGTCAAATCAGATCATTTGCATATTTGTTCAGTTTTGAATTCATTTCACTAAACGAGTCTTAAAGGAAGGTGATCGTCGCGCAGCGCATGTGCGACATTTGTGTTGATAAACATTGATTTTCCCACAATTCTATGCGCTCTTCTAATAGAAACCACAAGTATGAGGTTTGACCTGGGCGCGACTTACACTAATTTCCGCCCGTGACTCCTTCAATACCTTCTAATCACCTGAAAAATACATAATTAAAGCTTAGTAACGTCTCAGTTTGTACTTGTTGATCTGCGCACAGTCAAAGTCGCCATCTTTGTTTATATGAGACCCATATATCTCGCGCATGCGTGGCGCGACGACTACCGCTCTTTAAAAAACGTTAACATCGGTTCGGTGTCATGTACAAGCTCACATAGTTTAATAACACTGCAATAGAGAATCTCTGTCGTCGACTTTGTGAAAAATCGTTTTTGGGGAGAAACCCTGAAAAAGGAATTTTAACAAGAAATTTCAGTAATATATTAAGAAAAATTCATAGCGGGATGTATTCCCTATGCACTCATAAATCATATTTTCTATATTTTTGCCTTTTATTTGTCTTGAAATATGACTGAAAGAAACTGAATGCAATTACAAACTATGTAGAGTGTTCAACAACTGATGTATGAACAATAACTTTAATAAATATGATTTTACTTGGTAAAAATGCCGAATTTTTCTGCATAAAAACGAAAGAATCGCACAATGTCGAAAACGGAAAATCATTATAACAGTGTTACTGGTGATATTGCTATTACAGCCCGAACTATCATTGCGGTAAACACTGGATTACATGCAACAACAGAAGACAAACTAAACACTGTGTTATAACTAAATAACTTCGCGTTAAAACTCGGTCCTCGGATACTTTTATTGGTTGCTAGGCATCTCCGGGAAGGATGGGTAAAACCTTGATTTAAATTTAATTCTCAATTGTGCCGCACTGAGGTAAACAGCTAGAGCACTGCTCTTTCTTTCATACTCTGCTTGATGTTGATGTTATCTAAAGTCGACATTAGATTCATGCAAACTCTGAAGTGAAACGATAGAGTTCCTTGGTTAATGCAGTACCACTTGAGTAGTTTGAAACTGATTCTGCGCCTATTTGTCGTAAAGTATCACAACCAATCCATCGGGTAACAGTCGTGTAGCTACTGGTGTGTGTGGTGTCAAGACTATCATCTCTACGCTGTCCATTCATCAGATCCATTCATCAGTGTCTCTAGAACACCTCCTGTCTGATTTCCACCACGAAAAAAACTGAATGAATTGCCTTGACCATGATCCGTGATATGTATGTTGGAAGGAGGCGATGTATAATACTCAATAATGTCAATATGATTAATTCCAAAAATGCTCATCTTTTCGGATCGTCTCTTGGTTGTGGGTCGCGACCATTACGTTATTTGTGTTTCCATAAGCTCAGGTCATACTGATGTTCAGAAACTTGCATTGCTCGACAATTTGAATTATGTCAATTTGCTGATAGCTGATACTCCTTAAGTCGCTTCTTTCTCACCTGCTCCGCTGAATGATTATTTCTTCGTGGATTTGTCTGGTTATATTATTCGTATCGCTTAACGACAGGTTGAATGTTCTGTGGGCTAAGGAGCCATATCTGGGAAAGTATTCTCATGACACTTCTTCACCTGGTTGACTTGTTTCAAGGTGTCAGACAAATGCGAGAACCGTTCTTTTCAGCGTGCTAACCCGACTGAGACCCGGCTTATCAACCCAACAGTTTCCACAAATTCAGTGTTATTACAATCAGTATATATTTTCACTATACAGAAGATATTAGCTATGAATTCTATTATTGGGAACATTAAGTCTGGTATACGTATCAACACAGTTTTGTTTATCAGTTTTCGAGGAATACACTATTTCTGGCGGTCTTGTCATTAGGAACGAGAAGCATCAAGTTGAATGTTCTCATCTTTTTTGATACTTTAGTAGTTTTCCAGGCTAAAAAAACTTGTTTTGAACTGGCTTCTCGGGGACCAAAGACAGGACCAAGAACAATCTGACAAGACTCAAACGTTCACTTGTTGTTGTGGATTGTTTTGTCAATCGTTTTCACTCGTTCATTTTGTGTTATACTCTTATACGACCTTTGGGTGAAAAGCTAAGCCACGCTATCTAGATGGGTTCTGAAATGAGTCCTATTCACGGTAGCCACACAACTGTTTAGCTCTGGCTAACTCCCTGGCTAATTGTCAGCAATATTCCAACGTTTAAATATTAAAGCTGATCACTGTAATTTCAGGAATAATAATTCGGTTCTCTCAGCGATTATATTATGTATATGTAGATTTATCTGTTTTCAAATCAATCATTTGCTTAAAGTGAACACATAAACCTAATTATCGAAGTAATCTGGAATAATTTCTGATGAATATGATAAATAGGTGATTTCCATTCATTGCGATATCCCGCGTAAAGCATGAATAGCATGGACCGAACGTCAGCAGCAACAATCGAATGATTTGATTCTCTTTCTTTAAAGCTTAATGTCAAAATGCCGATACTTCAGAAGAAAGTATGACGTTGCCATACCTTTAATCCATCAAAATTGACCATCATCAAATGTGTACATTATTAGACTGTGTTTTTCTTGTATTTACGTACAATTTCACGCATAACGCGGGATTTCGTAGTTAATGGAAACTGATCTCTTGTTTTAGTATCGGCTTACTTACTCAAGTCATTGCTGGTAAAATCGTAAAATGCATTGACAACAGCAGGGCCAACTGCCCATCTACATTAGGAAAGAAACAAACACATGACAACACATGTTAGATGTTTGTATTCAACGTTCGTAAAAAAGTTGCTTGCGTTGCGTTGTGCTATTCTATGTAACATAATTTGTATGCACATAGGCTGCAAGGATCTCACAAGATAGAGAAATTGATATTACATAAAAAGGAGACATCTGAACATATCTCATGAAATGAAAATATGCGATTTGATATGGGGATATGTGAAATATCGATATAGAAACATATCAAATGAAATGGAGATATGGTAAAAATGGAGATATATGAAAAATCACATGGTATATAGATAATGACATGGAAAGATATATGGTGTGGAGATCTGGTAACATATAATATGGCATGCAGATGTGAAAACATATCACATGATATGGAGTTATTGAAACATGCCACATGGTATGGAGATATGAAACATATCACATCGCACAGAGATAAAAACATATCACATGGTATGGGGATATAGAAACATCTCACATGCTATGAAGATATGAAACATCACATCGTACAGAAATAGAAACATATTACACATGTACTTGATATGGAGCTATGGAAACATATCACATGGTACGAGGATATGGAAACATGTTACCTGATATGGTGATATGAAAACATATCACATGGTGTGGAATTATAGAAATGTATCACATGGTATGGAAATATCCATTCATATCTCATGATATAAAGATGTAAATAACATCATCTAAAATAGTGATATTTATAACATAAAAGAATATATCGATGCTTACTCGGTACGATCAACTGGTTTTCTCAAATATTCAAAGTTCTTTTCTGTCCTCCATTTTATATATTGTAGATAATTTCCAAAATGATCGGTTGGCGAAAAGTCGAGCTGTGAAAATCGTAAAACAGAGTTCTGTTAGATCATCACTTTTGTTGGAAGGGACAGTGATAAAACACTGTAGTGATATCTCTCAGGATATTGTTGTTGTTTGTTTTGTTTTGGGGGGATTTAATACAAATTTATGATGAAAAATTCCTACATGCAAATAACATGTTTCTATTTCTATTTTGTTCACTAAAGATAGAACAAATACATAAATATACTTGAAAAGGGGAGAATAACAATCATAATCAACACAAAATTAACAGTACAGCTACCCGACTGATGATTTACAAAAATTCAAACATTTCCATGATTTTTAACAAAAAACTTACATACAATACATAAATAAATAATAGATAATAGATAATATAAGGGCAAAATGAAACTATTTTGAAATGAAAAACTTGGATAACTGGTATGAGAAATACGTACTGTTTTATAATACTCGATAAGTTCATTGTCATCTTTTATCCAGTCTGGAAAACCAATCTTCCTGTACATTACTAATACCTGCAAAACGAAGGAAAGGTTTAAACAATGATTTATTAGGCGTAATCTATCATATAAGAGAATACATGGTATAAAGAACACCCGTCTAAACGGTCTACAGTATATGATAAATTTAAATTACAGATATATTGTGCAGGAAAACTAACTTTTTGTTTGGCATCCTTTTTGGTAACTTCGTCCATCCACGAGGAATCGTCTATCATTTGTAGGAATGCATCTTGTATGTAATCGATCATCTGATTGGTCTGTTGAACATGATATGTCTGAATTGTTATTGCATTCTTTCCAGGTTTCATATGCAATTTGACAGACATGCAAATGAAAACGTTTAAACAAATTTAAACATTTTTAACATAGTTTGAATGATAATGTCGTAACCACAAGTTACAGAACTCCTAGACCCGCATTTACCGTGTATTTGGATTAGGACCAGTAATCCACTCCCGTTTTTTTTTTCATCAATAGTTCCGGTCTTTTAACGCAAATGGTCGCCGAGATCTCATCGATAGCGAGAGAAACACGTGAGTTGTTGTTGCTATTCAAATACCATCATTCTTTCCCGCCATTGCATCAAAATACTAAGGTTACGTGAGCATATTATAGAACCGATAACAGGGGGAAATGGAACACTATTTGAGGAGATAAAAAAACAAGTCTCTTGGTTTTCTCGCTCTAAACGAGATCTCAACGGCCATTTACGTGTACTCACACTAGCTTTACTCTCATCATCGTAATGCTCTTCAATAAACATCCGACCTGTAGCAAATCTCATGGCGTGGTTAATGTGATTCACACATGCCTCGCATCGTTCCATCTCTGAATTAGTGCCAAATATAACAGATGAATATTCTTGAGCGATGTGTCTGAATTCTGAGCCGAGCTCCATTATCACGTTGGCAACAGCCCTCCATACAAGATAGTTTGAAACAGTCCTGGTATAGTTTCAGAGAATTAAAAGCAAAATAAGTAATGTTAGTGCCTTATATTGTGTTCTCATTCATAAGATGCAGTGTACATCTTTGCCAGCCAATGTTCCAGTGCGTTTTTTCCGTTATTGCTTCACCACTCCAAAGGACGACGCATTTCGTAAGACTGGTTCAAAGAGTTTGGCCCATAGTAAAAAAAGTAGTTTTTCATAAAATTCATCAGGTATAACATATTGTATCAACTTAATCATGTTCAACATGTATGTAGTTTTTACATTATGTTTAAATGTATATCGTAAGTATGTATAATTAAATTACCTGGCATCAGTTTTTGAGATATGTCGCATGGCTTGCTCTAGGTAGTATGGTTCGTGCACAACCACTTCCTCCGTATCGTTCACTATTACGAAGTTGGTGCTGTTCAGATATCCTTTCCAGTCAAACTGATAAAATAATGATTATACTTCTATTTATATTAATCATACACGTTCTTATTAACTATAAATACGGGAAATAATTTCCCCAGTTGTCCTGAATTATACATTTGTAAAACTGAAAAATATGCTATGTTATTATAATAGAGAAAGCCTGCCCATTCTTTTTTTTCGAAAGTTGATCATCAACTACAAGACAATGTTTATTATGTGCAATAAGCTATTGTTCAATGGTAAAAAAACAGAATTCTATTCTAGTGTTTCTAGACTTGAATGCCGTACTTCCAGAGTAATTTACAACAAATTCTGTAAATCGCAATGTTAAAGGAAAATAACTTTTGTTAAACTTGAAATTATTCTGAATACCGGAGAGAATTTCACCAGCCACGATTTTGTTGTTACCCTATGTGGCCAGCCTATAATACATTTCAAGTCCATGGGACAAACAAAAATTACAATGTACTTATTTCACATGTGAGAATTGAATATTTAAATATTTAAAACCACTGATGTCATTGGATGACAAGTACAAATGAATATAAAATTAAATATAACCCATCTGTTTATTTCATATGTATTATCATTGTCACAACCAATAGCACGTATGTGACGTCAGCAGAGTATGCAAACTAGCACATCATAAGTCATAGGGTTCATAATGTCGTCTCATGGATCTACCCGTCATTATGGTTGCTCTCTATGGAATTAATTAATTCTGGAACATGTGAAACGAGACAAGCCCACCAGTACGAGTTTTTACGTTTTACTGTAGGTGTTGCAATCTGTAGTTGAACAGTGCCAGTCAACCGATCTAATCTATCCAATATCAAGAATAAATTGCAATTATATTAAACACTAATTGATCACGTAGAGTGGCATGCCCCCAACACGTGACATTTGAAAATACAACTGTACATAGATGAATCAGAAATATAGTACCTCTGGTATTGTTTTTTGAAGTTCAAGTATGGTCATTTTGTTATACAGTCGTTCCATATCTCGTCTTTCTTCATCTGGCGAAGTAAACTAGAACGATAAAAATGAAACTATTTCCAATCATCTTTATCAATATTTTTAAATTAGAGGTTCCTGGTGGCCGGTATAATGACATAGAATTTAAATTCATAAATATATATAAAGAAGGAGGGCGGGTTGTTGTGCCGCGGGTATAGCAGTGAATATGCTGGATGCAGATAACTGGAAAACAACGTGTTTATAAAAATCAAAAATGGCTTGAATATGGCTGTCTTCCTCACATTTGAAATTCCCACCAAAAAACACTTACTACTTACGTTAACTAACGCTATTTCAAATTCAAGAAGTTCTCGCAGTTGCATGTCGGCTTCATTTTCATCGGCTCCCATCGTAAGTGATACATTGATCATGAAATTAAAATATGCTTTGAGAAACTGCAAATAAATATACAACAAAAATATTTCTAGTCAGCAAGAGCGCCGCCAACAGAGGCACGAACCGAACTTTTGTTTTTACTTATTTCCCGTTGCACATCGCCCGCTGTTGACCCATTGATTAGTCGAGCAAAATGTATTACGCCTTATTGCTCTGGGAACAAGCAATTCCTGGCATCCAGCCAAAATGATGATGATGATACCTGTTTCGAATTGATCAAGCTCGCCATACTCTACATATCATATCCTCATTATACACGTTCGGGTCATAATCAGCTAAAATAGCTTTAATTCGGAAATCACACCCTGATACATGAACAAATAATGATTTGTTTCACGCATAGATGCTGGTAAGGTCAAAGTTCGTAACATGTGTTTACAATACTGAACAGCGTAGCAACGACTTGGTTTGCCATATGCTAAATTGTATCACCGTATTGTGAATATATTAAAATGCGAAATTACATTCCATATTTTATACTTAGGTTTGATTATTAAATTACCTTATTTCCTGTGATTGTATCTGATTTGTCTAAGTAATATTCTCGACTCGGTAAACTTGGTGAGGCCTGGTCAAACTAGAAAATCAATTGAAAGGTTGTTGTTACAATTGTTACCTATTATATTAGAATTTGATTGGTTGGCATTACAGTGTGTATTAAGTTGCACTAATCTGACTTCAGTTATAATATGTCAGACCACATTGCTCATGTACTTATGTACGCTTATTGTATGACTTAATTACCTTAATTAAATGTCTTGACGATTGTTTCATATCGGTGCTGACATATGTAGAGAATAAAAAACTATTACCAATTTCTCGTAACATCAGAGACATCAAAGATTCTAGTTTATAGAGAGATGCATTCCATCTACCACCAGGGTTGTCGCCCAGCACCGGCCATCCACCAAGAGACTCCAGAAACCTTGTCAACGGTCTCTTGTCGGCGTTGTCTATTTGGTCTAGTAAGACAGTTATAAATGCGATTCAGTGACACTCATTTAGACATGAAAAGAACAATTAAACTCACGTTAGACAAGTTCGATGAATTCGATCATACTGTCGGCGTTCCTTCACTTTTAATTTATACTAAGATGTGTGGTTATAATTACGTTAATCACGTATATTAAGACTTCACGTAGAATCCAGTGTCACGTAATATTGCCACCTTCCAAGAACCATACGCAGAATCACGTGATTTATTACAGCATCCAATGAAACACATCGTTACAACTCACCCAGGTCCATACAGGCTTTAAAGTTATTTTTGGCGTTTACAATTGGTTTGATATCGTTATCTTTGATTGGGTTTTCTATACTTTCTGAAAAATAAAGACAAGTTTAAATTTACCAGGATGTGCAATTAAAGTTAATTCTTTAAAAACAATTCTAAAGTTTAGTGACAATTTCAGGGATATGACTTGCAATACATTAGGAGGGCCATAGTCAGTGAGGGCGTATTAGACCCACGACGCCAGCTTTTGAACCCTTATCATTTATTTTGCTATTCAATAATGATGAATTAAGCTGCCTGGCAAATTTGAAAATTGTACGCATCCCTTTCTCTTTTGGAAATGTTAGTTCTATTACAGCCACGCAAAAAAGTAATTGGATCGTTGATTGACCCAATTTCGGACATATGGTCCAGTTTTCAAACAGTGAGTAAATGCGTTATTCTCCTATGCTTAGTAAAATACACATATTTTTAGCAGCTTTTGTATGTTCTGGAGATAAAGAGAACGATTTTTTTTATTTTGAAGGGAGGGAGGTTTAGATTTAAGTGATTCCGTGCTAGCGGTTATGGACGTTGAAGTGTCGACATATCAAACAAGCATTAAGGAAATCAACACAAACTCAAATAGTAATAGTTGTTCGATGAACATTTTTCTTGTCAAATAGAAATAAATAGCATATTCTTATTAGGATACACAGTAAACATGTTCAAATCAACACTTATTCTGATTTCTTGCGACAGCAAACGACAAATTAGTGTGTGCAAATGTTTCCAAAAAATAAGTGTAGTATTCACCCATCATCATTCGTGTGACGTTCGTCCTTAACTCCTTGAACATGTCGAATCGTGATTGGTCCGCTGGTATATCATGTGACTCAATCCAATTACCACATGTGAACTGGTAAAAATCTTCACAGGGATCGACTGACATATCCATCCGCGCTTTCATGGCTTCAGCTGTTATAGCAAAATGGACACAAGCAGCGTCAGTTTGGAACATATTGTGAACCAGCATTTATTTTAATGAAACTACCATCAATGATAAATATATGATTCAAGTTCAAATCAAATCAAATATTCAGCAACTGTCCTCAATTTCATCTATTGTAGAAAGAAGTACATTGTTACATGTATTGTTGATTGATTCATTCATCTTTGTAATACGTTGCGCCCTCTAGCGACACACGCTTCTATGACGTAAATGAGTGAAATAACGGTTTATAACATCAATTTTCATCTTTAGCTATCCGGCAATAAAATCTACTACATAACGAACGTAATCGAATTATTTAATCACATACACCATTTAGACTTCACACAAGCCGGCTTTGCCGCTAGAGGGTGCGTTTTTTTTTTTTTTTTTTTTTTTTTTTTAGCTACGCCGTCGTAATTTTGCCTCACAGCAGAGCTTCGTCGCTAGAGGACGCAATATATATAAAATCATATGATGTAGTGTTATGTAGCGATGCTTTGTAACGTGAGATAAAAGCTAACAAAGGCACTAGTAGTTACGTGGATATGAAATGTAGGTCCTGTATACAATTTAGTTCATATCATTCTTTTATCTGTTATCTGTATGAATAATGGTGAATGCTTGATTTATTTACGGGGGAGTCGTCGCCTGCGCATGCGTTAGATGGCCATAGCGTGTCATTGTTTACAAACAAACGTCTACCCATGAGCCTTTGCGTTTTTAGCGTGTGTTGTTATCATCGCTTGGGACTCAATTCCCGCGCGTGCGCAGGTGAAGACCCTCCCGCTTTAATTACGGCGGTCAAAAATCAGTTTATATACGTTGTGGTAAAGTTTAATTCTCCATTGATTACAAGATTTATGATGGATTTTAGTATTTCAAAAAGCAGGCAAACAAAGCAAATTGTGTGTATTGATGTACTTACCAACATAATGACAGTGTTTTGACTCACAATACGTGTTTCCAGTAACTTCGTCGTCATCATCGTCGTTATCGACATCGTCGTCATCATCACCAATGGTTGTCACGTTATATGGTACTTTGAAATATAAAGCGTGTGAAATTAACGACTAAGTTGTTTATGGTCATAAAGCTTGAATGTACTTGGCCGAGATTTGAGGCACGGATTCGTTCTCCACAAACGATATCAATGTACTGCTAGACGCTATTTGCGTGGTATTGTTGGAAGTCGTTTTCATATGCTTTCGAGCGTGCATCTCGATGATATTATTTGCAGCGTTGATAGTTGACCGAAAACAAGTAGGATATCATCGCGAGTCGAAGCATTATATTGTCATTAGTATATTCACGTTTCAGTAGTGTATATAACGACATAAAACATTTGCCGAAATTAACGGGATTTTAATTAGTGAATGGTTCGTTTCGCTAATTATAGATAATTGTTTTAACCACTACTGAAAGGTGAATATTGTAAGTTTCAGACCCTTGTTTCGCTGATTACACATTTTCGATTATCTGTAATTAGCGAAACGAGCCATATGCGTATTAAATATTATTTTCGGCAAGTATTTTGTAAATACTGTACGTATAAAACCTATTTTCACTGATTACAGTTTAATTTTCATTATGTGTGTTATCCCGTTTCGTTTCGATTCGTCGATTACAATTAACCGCACACAGAAAGTCATCCCCCGGAGTCATCCACACTTCTTTCGCGCCTCGTCCTCATTCGCATTCAGATCCTGCTTTTTGGGGGGTTTTCTGCCCTGTATTCATGCCAAAGTCACTCGGAGCTGAACATAAAATTGCGTAATAGTATCTGATGGAATAAGAATCCTGGCAAAGTTTGGTGCATTGTGTATTAAACTATCAAATAAATGATCATATTCACAATATATCATGTCAATAGTTCTCATCTTTCTTCATCAAACAACGAATGACACCAACAGGATTTGCATACACAGTAACTTGTTTGAGTTGATCACACTCCACTTGAGTGCAAACACGGCAGAGAATCCTCGTAATAGGGGTAGGATGTTCTCAATATATGTCTGAAATAGGGGGTGTTTTTTTCTTCAATATGTCTGCTCTAGGGGGTACTGAATTTACATTGCGTCCGTAATAGGGGGTATGGTTTGCCAATGTGTTGCCAGCCCTAGGGGCCCATTTATTTTTTAGCAAGAACGCACATGGTGTAAGGTTTTAATATTGAGTGTCCCCCTGATTGTTATGCCCTTAATACCCTTCAGAGAACTGTTTGGATTTAACATAAAACGTCTCACGGTGGTATATAGATCTCATTTGAATAAACAAGACAATACATGACCCATTAGCCTCGGAAAACAACAAAACAGGAAAAATCAAATCTGAAATCAAGAGGACTGTGTGCACACCAATCAGTCGTGCATATGATAGTATCCTCGGGGACGGATACCCGGGCATTTTCACCGCCTGGCAACCTTCGCGGTAAAAATAAAGGCCAACAACTCGAAGAAAACGGTACTTTGGGATGGTTGTTGAGACTCCCCAGAACAGTGTAACAAGATTAGCCCTATGTGTGTAACATATATAAATTCGGTTGTTCAGGATTACTTCAAAGTTAAGTTTGTGTTGTTTTCTATAATTTTCACCGGCTTGACCGGCGTTCAACAGCAGCGCGCGCAGAGCCCATAGAAATACATGGTACAGTGTTGCGCGTCTTAGCAACGTGGAACGTTTGTGACGTACGTGGCTCCGCCCCGAGGATATATACTAATTTGAGCTGCAAAATATCACAAGGGTCTAACGTAACTGTTTGTTCGTTATAAAACAAATGACAACTTACGAGGAGTGATTCATGAGTAAGCAACTCAATTACATTGATCAGTAGACAGTACTTGTGGTTTGTTTATTTGACCGAGCCCTGGCGTCATGGAATTAACTGTGTATGGTTTCTAAAGACTCAACATGTCAAATACATAAATAACAATATACAATCGTTATGCTCACGCGACTGGTGATAACTATCAACAAATACCAGACGGCAAACTCATATATAATACAATTTTTAATAAAAATAATCGAGGTTTCGTTGATTTTCGTTTCGTTGACCTGGTCTATTGTGGTGTTCTGCTCGTCGGTTGCACATACTAAACAAAATGAATAATTAATTTTCGAAATGTCACGTGACATTTTGTCCGAACAAATTTCGCCATGTTCTTCCTTGTTCGTAATTAGTTTTGTAATGATCACAAAAAGAATCCAGCCATTCAGCTATCACAGAAAGACTTGCACAATTTAAAGTAAATCGAAATACTGTAATTTCTCGGTGATTCAGGTATGTACTAGTTCGAGTCAATCGAGCGACGTGACTTTCAACGGGAATACGGTCTGCCGAATAAACTAAATTTTACGTTCACCAGAAATCTACAAATTGTACATTATGTTAATTTTACCTAAAATGTACTTCAAGATTTGATTATTTGTTCGAATGATTCCGTGCATACTAATAAGCTTATCTGCATATTCATTTAGCATGCTCCTATGTAATATTTCAAATATAGTCTGCTTGATACTACCTAAAATACCTAATATAAAATAATTTCGCTATATGTACTTTTACTATCAGTGTACGTGTTACAGCCCATAAGAATGTGTTACAACTGAATAGGACCGAGATTTCTTTCATTTACAGATGCAATATTGGAGGACCATGTTTGAATAATGTTTGAATACCACGTGACTGTCGTACGACCCTTCGGATGTCATGTAGTTCTCAATTAGAGTAGGTACTGATAATCCTACAAATCAGGCAAAATACAGTGACTGCGCGGAACTGTCACCTAGCACATAAGTATTTTTTTTATATGTTATGCAAACTATTCGCTATACCAATTGCGTGGCATTAGAAAAAATTCCCAGTGTACACCATGTCTAATCCTAACTCGAACCCGACCCTTATATAGGCGTACATAGAGGCTTTTTCGACTACCAATGCAGCTGTCAACTTAAGGCTAAATGCAACTATACTTGAATAAAAAAAATAGCCTGAAGCCTTGAGGTCGAATGCATTTCAGCTTCGAACTTGTTGCCATGGTTTTTTTTTTTTTACAAATACACCTGGCCATGTTATACAAATAGCGTTCAGACCCCACAAGACCAGCAACCAACCATGTATCGTGTTGCGAACCTCTTTCTATGTAAAACGCGCTTTAATTGGTTGACAAACATCGTAGAAATTGTGCCTGAACACGATTTTCATTTGATCACGGTAATCAAATTAAAACTCACTGTGGTCTATTTTATATACAACGTATTCAATTTACAGTGATCATTTTAAGATCTCTTTAAACATAACGCTTTATTAATTTATTCAAATACAAATCTCTACATGTCCCTCTCTTATTTAAATAAACTACCGGTAATTTAAGTAATTATTTGTGAGATATCAAACCAATTACCTTGACCTAAGTCACTTGTCACTGAATCCAGAACAACAATTTGGGATGGTCTTCCGTAGATTTCGGTGAATTTGAGAATCAAGCAGATAACAGCAACTAAATAGAAGCGATCCATAACGATGTAACCTGCATAGAAAAGAATAAAAGCTGTGCTTATCCAGTACGTTTGAATTGAGCTCTAACGACGGCGACGCACACGTGGAAATAGAGGGCACTGAATTGACGCGACAATGCCAGGAAACAGTGGTGACTGAGCGGGCAAAATTGAGCGGTACATCATAAGCGAATTTCCCGGTACAACTTTATGTTTTATCATTCTTTTAGGAGGCATCACTTATTCGAAAATCATGAATTATATTTCGGACGCTGTTACGGACTCGAACACAATGTTTTTTCCTGTCTCGAATATGGTGATTTCACTTTAGATGACAAACGTCCAATTCATCGGAATGAAAGTTGGCGTTACTCGGGCGAATGGCTTGACTCAATGGGAATGCATTCGTTGTATATGATTTGGGGCAACAAGGTCATTCCTTCATCTTTATAAATATTTATGAATTTCAATGGCAGTTGAATCGAACCAGCCAATCGCAACGACGCGCAACGACGTCATTTGAAAACGTTCCAATGTTATTCAATCGGCCGATAGAAACTTTTCGTTCTATTCTGAATTGTAAAAATTGATTAGTAAAGATGAAGGGAATGCCTTTGTTGCGTCAAAATGCGCCGTGGCACTCCCCAGTGTAAAGCCAGATGAGGTACGTAACTCGGCTGGTTCGTATAAAGTAAGAGTTTCGTGTGGCTTGTCGGAATTCCCGATTAAAATTCCTGACGTCATTCGCGTAAACTGGACTATCCAGAACTTTGCAGAGTAGCAGCATATTGTCGATATTTTCTAGCAAATATTGAGTTGTTGTTGAGGAGACGTTAGGGACGAGTCAACTGATGACGTATCGATTGTTTGACTTTTTTCATGATGCGTGATTTATTATATACTCTGGCGCGTAGCTGTTTTGACTTGACAAATTGTTTGACAGCGAGCTTAAAGGTCTGGCCACGCAGAATCAGTAGTGCATATTGTCACAGCATTTTTAAAACAAAGAAAGACATCATCCCTTATTTGGCAAATCCTTTAAGGAAGGCCAAATGATAATTTGTTATTTCCAGAAAAAATATACTTACGTACACCACGTGCAAAAGAACAACATGAAGTCCAATCTGTTCATTTACAAAATCACTTTAAAGTACACATGCACACACTAAGTAAAATGTTTTTAAATGAAACTTTTTTAGGTAAAAACAATATGATATATACTAAAATTTCATTTCGTCCTATCGTTCTCACTCATTTCGTTTTTGGAGTGTTGTAACGTCTTACAAGTGTACCTGCAATGTAATTAACCTTCAAAAACAAACAAAGGGTCCTAACCCACTAATGTGTATTGTTTACAAATTTGGGAAACCCACTTAAAGTCATATTTTGCAATCATTAACAATTACGTTTAACTGACTGAGGTTGCATACTTGGCATATAGTTTTCAGTGAACGGGTCTCTTACCAGCTATATATATAGTAACTGTACTACTGTGCGTAGAAATGATATTTGTAAAATATATCTAATTCGGGTCAAATATCGTTTTTTCATCTGCGAGGGTATGTCTAGTTTGTTCGCAAGCAAAGTTTAGAGATGACCAACCGTTCTAGTTTGAGCATTTTAATTTTCTTTGAGCCGCACCACTGCTTCAATTATTCTGTGTTGACTTGATTTAAAGTGAAAGTCCGTGATACTATTGTCATAGCGTGTGCACATAGATGATAGTGGACTGGTGTGAATGTAGACAAATCAGAGCAATGATATTGATATTTTATGAAAACACTTATTAAATAGCAAAGGCATGAATACATAAAGTTTCATTTGTTTAACTCGTACAGTGTTACGTGATTATTACAGAATTATAAAGAATACCGTTATCATGGATGCTCAATTTGAAATTATGGTTGCTGATTATGACATCTTTGACGATGGTAATGGAGTTATGGTCACTGGTAGTTGTGACATGAATAGTGATTACGAAATCATGGATGATGAGTGTTACATCATAGTTTCTGATTAAGATACCACGATTGCTGATCATGACATCATAGATACTAGTAATAACATCATGGATGATGAATACGGCACTATGGTTGTTAATTATGACATCATGGATGTTGATTATGACATCATGGATAATGATTACGGCATCAAGTTGCAGATTATGACATACTGGATGTTGATTAAGGGATCATTGCTGATGATTATGACAAATAGTTGCTGAATAAGTCATTACGCTTTTTAATTGTGGCAACATGGATGTTGAATATGACATCATAGTTGCTGATTATAAAATCATGGATACTGATTATGACATCATGATTGCTGAAAATTACATTATAGATGCGTATTATTACATAATTGTTGCTGATTAAAAGCCATGATCGTCATAACTGGAATATTAAGCGTGATACATAGTGGAATTATAAAATGACATCTTTTCTGTGTGCATTACGTCATTTCAAACGTAGTATTAACTTGGGAGTGACATAACATACAAATACATACCGTTAAGTTCAAATTCATATACCACTCGAGTTTCAGGCACTCGAAACTAACTAGACACGGTGAGTAAAAAATGGTAGAATGGTAAAATTTGTGCCAACTAACTTGCATCAATTCTGCTTTGTATACCTGCTATACATTTAGCAAAGTCGAAACTACATGACAGTATGTATACATACATGCATATCTAACCAGCTGACCATAGCTTGTGTACTACTGGGTCGTCATGGCCTCGTGTGACCCTCTATAATGTGAACTCACCTTTTGGGTGTACGTCTCAGTTCCTAATACAGATGTAATACTTGAGGTAATCCTTAAATATGATCGATTTGTTTGCAACGTGAAACAACGATCGACGTTTTTTTTTCAATAGAATGAAGGACTTTTGGAATCTGCTAACCGTGTCAAGGTCTATTATCTCTTCCGTAGGTCCGAGATATCAGTAACGCAATTATCTTTTATTTACAGCCACATGGCCCAGTGGTTTTGTTTCAACTTTACGTGGCATTTGTTTTACTGGTGTTTCTCTCTCTTCATTATAAACGTTTTTTTTTCCCCCAAGAACATTTCAAAATTAACCGTAGCGAGTCGTTCTTTGCCGAGAGATGCAGGTAACTATGGAGTGTTCTAATCACTTATGGTAAACTTAGTACAGTTTGCAGCGGGTAATAGCCGTAAAACATAAATGCACATTTGAATGGCTAGCGGTGTCGACGTTTGGCAATTATTTATTTGACCCGCAGTATCCTACAGTTAGTATATCATTGGTCTCGTTAAAATCTAACCAGTAAGTGACTAAACAAAATTGTATACACTAGCCTGAGATTGGTCCACTAGGCGCCAATGGTAATAGTATATCGTTCTCAAACGTGATTTGCTACTAAACTCTCGTGTGTTGCTTGACATTTGGTGCTGCCGACGTCATTGTGACGTCACGCAACTTAATGTCCCACGTTCTTCAACTTGTGTTCTAGATCTCCACATTGCGAAGGAGTCAGCATCAAGCGCTCACATACCTATATATTTTCTTTACAGCGTGGTGTATGTGTTAGATTTGTTATATTTTTTGTCAAATCAAAGCGTCGAGTATCGAAGGTTGAATTAGCAAGTCTTATAGAAGCTGTAAGCAGATATACTACAGACCCTATGATATAGTTCAAACGTAATCCGAAACGGCGGTTGTTAAAGCGTTCATGTGACAGCACATCTGGGTCATTTTTTAAACAAGTACTCGCTCAAAGCTGACTCTAAGCCACGACTTTATAAAATAAATCGGTCGTCACGTATCGTTTCTCTGAATGTCATGTATTTTAACCTTGTTTCATACGTCATCCCTGACCCATGCCGTATGGTGTGCCGTCTGTGAATTTACTCGTATCGCGTTTTTTTTTATTTTTAGAATACTATATGTAAAAATTATCATTAAATAAAATAAATAAATTTCAAAGTAAATATTATTAGCTAACTTATTGGTTTATTTATAAATCTTTATATACATTTTATAATTTAAAAAATACTGTTATTACCTAAATGTTATTCAATTATGATTCGAGATATCTTATACATAAAGAAATTGGAAAAAATGGTATTAAATTATGAAGATAATCGGTGTTTATAAGTATTATATACATACAATTGAGTGTCGTACATAATCAGAAAGACGTGTTATATTAATTACTTATAACGCAGCAAAATACATTATTTATAAATAAATATAATTTTGTTTTAGTATGTTTGTTATTTGTAAATAAAAATACTCATTCATGTATTTCCTAAGCATGGTTATTCAAGTTTATAAACAATTGCGACTCGACGACTATATCATAATATGCAATCCATGGACGTTAGTGGCGTTTGCATGATTTTGTATCAATTAGAGGGTCTCAAAATTCGTTATATAAGTAAATACTGCATGCCAGACGTGTACATGGTCTGTGAATACAAATAATTCGAATATTGGTAGAGTCAGATAGATTATGTTAAAGCGAGAGGGTCACCTGCGTACGCGCGGGATTTGAGTCCCAAGCGACGATAACAACACACGCTAAAAACGCATAAACTCATGGGTAGACGCTTGTTTGTAAAGAATGACACGCAATGACCATCTGACGCATGCGCAGGTGACGAGTCCTCCGCTTTAGCTAAAAAAGAAAAATTGACATTTTTTGAACACTCGGCGCGAATAAAATCTTTACGAAGCAAAATAGTGACTTAAAGGGCGGCAGACGTCACGCTGTACATGTACGACTTTTGTGTTGATAAACATTGATTTCCCACAATTCAATGCGCTCGTCAAATGGCAATCACAAGTATGAGGTTTGACCTTGGCGTGCCTTGCACTAATTCCCGCCGGTGACTCCTCGATACCTTCCAATCACCTAAAAATACCTAATTAAAGATTTGTAACGTCTCAGTTTGTACACGTTGATTTGCGCAACAGTCAAAGTCGCTATCTTTGTTTATACTATGGGACCCATATATCTCGCGCATGCGTGGCGCGACGACTACCGCCCTTTAAATTCGTGTC